CCCCAAAACCCCAAAACCCCAAAACCCCAAGTGGAAGATCCAGACTTGATCATTTATTCATTAAAAATTATACTTTATTATTACAAATGAGCGAACACAAGTATCAATGCGTTATGGAAGAGTGAGACATAGAGGCAGCCCACTACTGCATCTGTCACCAGTGATTCGTGTGAGACAGATGTAATGTCAATAGACATTATGGGTGAGAATTGATGGGGATATGATGTGGTAAGCAATTAAGAGATATTTCAAAGTTGCTTCTTGGGTTTGTGGATGGGCTCGAGAAGAAAGCAATCCAGCATAGTTTTACAATGATGATAAAAGGACTTGAACAAGCATTTCAGGATGTCAATGGTGTTGTAAAGATGTTCCAAGCCAATGTTGCTCAATGCTTTGAACAAGATAAGCATGAAGATTTCTCGAAGCTTGTGTTTCAAGGCAAACAAATATTGTCAGACATCTTCGAAGGAACTATCTTTGGTAACACAACAAAATCAAATCCGATTCTGAGACTTCTGTTTGACATCCAAGTGCTGGACACTCAGAATGGAAACTTGGTTCCACCAATGAGAGACATCAAGATCCTTGTCAACGAGAGATCGAAGGCTTTGGTGAGTGAATTCGCTAGAAGGAACAAGAAAATGTATGGAGACAAGTTAGAAGCTCAGCTCTCAAAAGTGAGAAAAGATACAGAAATGAAATGAGAAGCTCATTTTAATCAGGAAGCTGATAAATTATCATATACAATTCTGAAACTTAGAGATATCTTGGCTGATAAAGAGCAGAAGATACAAATTCTAAAGCAAGAGAAGCTTGATCTTGCTAAGCAAATAGAAGACCTTCAAGTCGATAACAAATATTTAGAATCACAGCTTGAAGAGACTCACAAATAGCTTGCATGATACAAGTATGAATTCTGGTTTTCTAATGAAAGGAGAAGTAAAACCAATGCTTCAATGAGATATTACCATTCTTGGAGTGTGAACTACAGGGAAGACCTCCCTCTCTGCAGTTCTAACCAACAAGGAGTTCCCAACCTTCCCGTTAGGAACTGCTGAGACCACTTCTGGGGTCCTAGAAACTTATTTCAGAGGTCGGAAGCTCAAATGCAGGTTCTGGGACACTGTTAGGTATTGAGAGCGAAACAAAGATGCTCTTATAAAGCCAGTCAAGCTTTCTTCAATTGTTCTCTTGATGTATGACATCACCTCTTGTGTCTCTCTCTGGGATTGACAAGAAGCTGCTGAATTAGTCAACCAGCAAGGAAAACAAATAATGATTTACTTGATTGGCAACAAGTCTGATCTCCAACACAACAGAGAAGTCACATATGAGGAAACATTTAAGTTCAAAACAATTAACAAAGTGGATTACCACTTTGAAATCTCAGCTAAGACTGGAGATGGGCTCCCAGAGCTTCAAGCACATCTGATGAAAAGCATTCAGAAATTGGACCAAATCGAAAAGGACCCAGACTTTGTGGATCTGCAAAAAGAAGAAGCCAAGTCGATACATGATGGTTCGAAGAAACCCATTAAAGGCTTTTTTGAATTTTTCTAATTTATTACAGGTCTACTCAATCTTAAAGCATTTCCTAGGGGTTTTGGGGTTTTGGGGTTTTGGGGAGA